TAAGACAATTAATTAGATTAAATTAAGTAATATGAAAAAATAATTCGTTCACAATTACATTATTATCAATCGATATTTATTTCCAATTGACATTGTATAAATTAATTTTTTTAATTGTATAAATTAATAATAGAATAATATATAATTGGATATTATTAAAGAAATCTTTATATTATTTCTAATCACGCGTTTAGGAATGATTTAACGTGAAAACATAGTAATATCGTTTAAATGTTGTTGGTGATGATGGTGGATCGTTGCTAAGGTCAAGGGTTTCTTCTTCGTCGTGTCCGCACGAGGTACGGATAACGAACGGTCAATTAATTACAGGCGAGCTTAATTAAGGACGGCTCTTTGAGTTTCACACAGGATAGATCCATTTACATGATTGCGCCATTAAGTGTCCAAGCTCGCTTTGTTCCACCTGTCTTTAAACGAGTCGCATTTTATCTATCTATCTATTTCTTCCTCTCTCTCTCTCTCTCTCTCTCTCTCTCTCTCTTTCTCTCTCTCCCTCCCTCCCTCCCTCTCTCTCATTCTTTCTATCTCTATGTCTATCTCATTTCTTTATCCGATTTCAAAATCGAATGGTTTGACTATCGGCACATAAAAAGTTTACTTTCTAACGTCATGCAATATTTACTTATGCGATTTTACTTTCTAATACGGCGTCAAATAATAACCTTGTTATTTGTCAACTTTTAACATTTCTTTTTCTTCTTCTTTTTTGTTTTGTTTTTTTCTTTCTTTTTCTTTTTTTTTATATTATATCAGGACTTAACGCTATACTACTAATTATTATGCAAATGTATATATATATATATAAGTATAGAGAAATTTTACAAGTTTTACATGATTATAAATATATTTTATTGTAACGCATGATATAAAAGTATTAATTTTAATTAATCATTATCGTGGAGAAATTATAATCAAAATTAAATTTATTAAAGGACCAAAAATATATTAAAATAAAAACAATAAATTATATATATATATGTGTGTATATATGGAATACATTATTGTAGGAGTAGTAATATTTTCTAAACTGACTTGTTAGAGTTACAATGAATTAAAAATGCAAATGAAATAGAGAAGAAAACAACAGTAATAATAATAATTATAATAATTATAATAATTATAATAATAATAATAATAATAATAATAATAATAAAAATAATATTGATAATAACAATAACAGTAACATTAAAATAAGATAAAATAAAAAAGTACAAAATTAATAGCTCGTGTAATAAAATAAATGTAGTGATAAATGAATACTTCCTCTCCCTTCTCTACCCTCTCTCTCTCTCCCTCTCTCTCTCTCTCTCTCTCTCTCTCTCTCTTTCTCTCTCTCTCTCTCTCTGTTTCTCTGTTTCTCTCATCAGTCATGAAGAGGCGAAGTCAACCTTTCGAGAATTTCCATTAAAAGCAGAGAGTTAAAAGTCACTAGGAAGCTATCGTGTTCCGCAACGACGAAGCCGACGCGGTTTATCGAAACAATGCGCGGTTCTGTTAGTAAAACGAACGATCGAACGAGGGAACGATGGAACGATGGAAGGAGAGAGAACGTTGGTGTTGGCTAGTTTAGGAAGTTCGTTAATTAAAATCCCTAATTGAAAGTGCACCCTGGTTTCGTGCCGAGACCAGTACGGGAATAACGTTATCTCATTCCCTTTTACATACGGTTGGGAATATCTCGCATAAAACGAAGCTTAAAGTAAATTTTTTCGTTTTCCTTTTACATTTTCTTTGTCCTTTTCTTTCCTTTTTTTTTTTTTTTTTTTATATATATTTATTTTTTTATTCGTTGTCGTTGGTTTTTTTTCTTTCGTTTTTTTTTTTTTTCGAACGTAATTCAGGACGATACGTATTTACCCATTACGCGTCCCCCCCCCCCCGACCCTCTTTCTCTTCTCTCTCTCTCTCTTTTTCTATTTCTTTCTATTTCTTTTTCCTAGTTAACTTTCTGGCCTTAGGCATCGTACAACTGGAGAATTTTAGTCTAATAATAGATGTGTCTGCGTGCGTGCGCGAGCTCGCGTGCGTGCGTATGTATGTATGCATGTTTATTCGTCGTGTGTGCGCGCGCGGCAATGTGGAGGATGATGTTTTTTATCGAGTGTTACTCTTGAGAAAAGGAAAGAGAGGAAAAAACGAAGAGGAAGTGGAGGAGGGAGGAGACGAAGAAGAAGAAGAAGAAGAAGAACTGAAAAGGAATGAAATGTTTTAATAATAATAATTATAAATAATAATAATAATAATAATCATCGTCGTCGTCATCATCATCATCATCATCATCATCATCATCGTGGTGTACGATTTAAAATATCGTAGGAATCGTTAAAAAATATAAAAAAATAAAAAACAAAAAAAAAACAAGATGGATGAAATCCGTTTATGGCGTAGATAGAATGCGTTGCTCTTTTGAAGGATAAAAAGAAAAAGGAAGAAGAAAACTTTGTGGAAAAAGATTAAATTGATACAATGAGATAATCAA